ATAATTGTTGTACATCTGATGCTTGTCTTCATTGCTACTGTGTCCTTGGCGACGTTCTTTTATATTTGTGTTCTTTTCAAAATTTTCAGGCCAAATCATAGTGAGAATATTTTTTGTTCAATGGGAACCATCATGACAGTTATATTAGAGGAGAGTGAAGAAATTTCCCCAGAGCTTCTCTCCTGCCTCCTGGATTCGGTGAAAAATGATAACAAAGTACAGTATTACTGTAATCCTTTTTCTGTCTGTTGGCTTTATTATTTTCTCATGTTTTTGGTTTTTGTGCTCAGGACATCTTGCCCATTGCTCGCAGGCTTGCAGAAAGAGTAATCGCTGACTGTGCCTTGAAATTGAAACCTTATCTGGTTGAATTAGCTAAATCAAAAAAAGCCTTTTTAAGCAAGTATAGCAGAGTTGTTGCTTCTGTATGTCAAGAGTATTCTGATCAAGTGGAGCAAAATGACATGAATTCTGCTGCTGATGCTATGGTGTGCCAATCTTTTTTTAGATCATAATTGAGTTTTTTTTTTACAAAGTTCTCCAATGTTTATGCTAAAGTTCAATTTTTCATATAATAATTTAGGTAGTATATGCTGTTTTTTGTCCAAAGAAGCTTAATTGGTGTAGCCAATTTACTACTGGAATTTTTACTCTGAATGATCTTGTGTTTTACATAATTTATCAAGCCTCAAAAGTCTATCTTGTGTGTATTTGTACCACAAAAGACACAGCATCACAGATGGTTTGATCAACACACCACATATTTTTGTTTAATGTGAATCTCATTAGCCTGATATGGTTTTTAGGAGTTGTTTTCTTTTTTGGTTGATTAAGTTTTCATGCTTCAGGCAGATGACAGTAAATTATCCAAGAAGACTGAATCTTCTCAAAAGCGGAAGTCTGAACTCTCTGGTCATGGTAACCAAATGAAAAATAAACGTGCAGCTAATAGAGATTGTTCTGCTATCTTGGGGTTAAAGGCTGGAAGACTAGACGACACTTCGGGTCCTAAGGTAATAAGTTTAGTAACAGATGAGCTGGTTATTCATTATTGAACATCGTCATTTTAAATATTTGCTACACAAGCAGAGCCTTCTTTCTGTGTCTATGTGTCTCCTATTGACAATGTCCATTATTTTTCTAATTCAGTATTTTGTCTACATGTAGAATCCTGGAAAACCAGCTCAGGTTAGAGAACCTGATCAAAGCATTGTTGGCCTCAAAATTAAAGTATGGTGGCCGGATGACAAAAGGTGAGTATGTCTTAATTTCATTCTTTCAAGATTACTTGGATGCCTTGATTAGTTGGTGTGAATTTGGACATGAAATATAGTGGACATGACTAAAACACAACAGAGATTGATGCGTGGCATCATTATGCTATTATCCAAAGTTATTTTGTTCTGTATGAAAAACAAAATGTGGACTACTGCACATTGGAGGTTTGGATTTGAGAAATTCTTTTCATATGGGGTAATGCATAGTGGACATGACTAAAACACAACAGAGATTAATGTGTGGCATCATTATGACCTTGTGATTGCTCAACATGGTTTTATTCTGTATGTTTTGATAAAAGAATTCAAAATTCCATGCTATTTACTTGTGTTTTATTCACAGGTTTTATGATGGTACTGTTGAAGATTATGATCGCACGACAAAGAAGCATAAGGTATCAAATGACTTGATTCTGGATCTTTGATTTTCTCATTTGGCTTGTTGTTCAATTTTCTGGATAGCTTGCTGATTTTGTGTTCCTCTTGAGATTCTCTATGATGATGGTGATGTAGAGGTGTTGTTGCTGAAGAACGAACGTTGGGATTTCATTGGAGATAAAATAAGAACATCTTATTTTATGGTGAGTCAGAATTGCCTAATGTAATTTTTAATTATGTGGTATTCTAGTGCTGACTTCTGCTGTTTTATAATCTGCAGGGGCAAACAAAAGATGATTTCAGTCCTGATGCTTCTTCAGAGTACGTACTGGTTTTATAATTTGAGCACAACGCATTTTGGTGATTAACCTCAACTTTACTACTTATTAACTCTTCATCCAAAAATCTAGTAGACCTATTTGTCTTTGTGAAAGCATTGGACCACCATTGGCTTTAACTTTCTAGTTCCTAGCAGCCTATTTATTCTCTAGAGCTTTGGTCATCAACTTTGCAAGATTGACAGCAGTAGCCCATAGTAAGTTCAACATAATCAAAAGAAATGAGTCCGTTATTGTTATTAGTGGTCAGAATTGAAATTAGGGTATGATCTGAGACAATTTTTGGGTAAATGATGTGCAATATGGTCAGGTGAAGAGAATGCCAATGGGGCATTTGCAAAGTACAGGTGTTTGAATGAAATGCTAGCCCAACCATCTCTTTTGTTACACCATGAAAAAGATAGCACTGCATACAAGGTTAATCAAGGTACGAAGAAACACTTTTCCACAGTAGAACAAGGAAAGGCATGTGTTAAATATTTAAGAATACAGTTGAATCCCCAAGAGCTAATGATAGAAGTTTGTGCAGCAAGTCACAGTAAACATCGAGCTTTATGGCTGATTACCTATAGGTGTTCCAAAAACTTTTATGGGTCCCCTATTGAACACGACGGAATATCCTCAACATGTTTACAGTTTCATGTTTAAGCTGTTGCTACTTTATGTTAAAGTTATTTTTTGGTCTTTGACATTTTTCTTTTTTTGGGTAAAGCAAAAGAACGAAGAAACATTCAAACCATGTGGCAAGGGAAACCAATGTGGGAACACCAGTAAAAAGGTTGGTAAATTTACTTCTGCTACACTGTCATTTTCATTTGCCAAATGATGCAAGTTCTGAGTGACTTTTCTGGGTACATTGTTAGTGGCACACATTCCAGCAGTACGGGTAGCACAGAAATTCGTAAGCGGAAAGGTCGACCTCCTAAAGTGGCAAATTCCAACCATAGTCTGTTATCCGGTGATGACAGTCCAAACATATCAAGCAAATCAAAAGAAAAGGCTCCAAACAAGCCAAAAGATGATGTACCTAAATCTGGCACCAAGCTCAAGAAGGATGGTGAGAAGGCGAAGGAACACAATGAAGAAACCCATAAATTGGATAAAAAACCTAGGGATATGGCCATTTTGGAAGCAACTGGTGAATCAAAGACAAATGGAGTTCCGGTGAAAGAAAAATTGAAGGTTCAAGAAACAGGGGCATCTTCCGCAAAGGTTTCATCAAAAGAAGCAGAAAGTGAGGCATCAGCTGCAAAGAAGCGAAAGATCATGGGCAATAGTTAGGGAATTGTAGGTTTATAGATTGTGTTGTCAAAGACCATCATTTCCTTCAGGTATATATGACTGCTGTCATTTGCCTAGTAACCTTTTATGCTGGTTTTGTTAACCTCTTTTATCTTCTTACTGTGTTGGTGGTAGCACGGCTGAGCTGTCTAAATAGGTTTAGGAATGGATGGGAGAGCTTGTAATGTTTTTGATACCTTGGTTCCTGCGATAGGAAGAAAGATGCAAGCCTCCACTGGCTCTCTTTGAAGCTTATGAACACCCCAGAATCTTTTTTTGTTTCTGTTTCTACTATTTATCAAAGTTTTTCTCCAATCCGTTTTAATCCTCATGGTTTTATGGGTGATGGTTGTAGGTGCCAATGTGCTCATACTTTTTAGAGTCCCGAGTGGAAGCTTCCATGTCTCTTTGTTTGATCGGTCTCTAGGCTTATTGTGCGTTAAGATGTTTTCAACGGGTGATTGACGCCTTTAAGATTCGTGATTCAGTTCTGTACGGTCGATGCATGATTAGGATGCTTCGGTTGCCACCTTTGCGTATTCGGTTCGACGTGGTGAGTCGGAAAGGCGGAAGTCGGTTCAACGTGGGCGGGAAGAGCTTCGAGACGACCGCCAGCACCCTCGCCAACGCCGGCCGCCACTCCATGCTCGGCGCCCTCTTAGAACCTCCGGCCGCCGGCTGAGGGCCAGGCCGAGGACGCCGAGTACTTCGTCGACCGCAACCCGGCGTACTTCGTCGTGCTTCTCAACCTCCTCCGCGCCTGCAAGCTCCACGTCCCGCCCAACGTGCCGGATAAGCTCCTCTACCGCCGCCCGTTGGCGCCCCTTCGACGGCGACCACCTCCGGCTGGCGGGCTTCCTGTGCGGCCACGCTTCCTGGCACGGCCATCCGCGCCGGCCCCGATGGCTGCTGCTGGTGCGTCGCCCACGGCAACATGGTCCACGTCTACGACTTGATGCTGAGGGAGCACCGACCCATCAGCCTCGACTACCAGCAGGTCAACGACGTTGGCTACTTTGACGCCGACAGCATCGTGGACACCAGCCGCGAGCGTCTGGGGAAGCGCGACGAAGAGATGGCCATCTAACATCAACACCGAGGAGGAGTTATGGTGGTTCCATATATGATTTCTCCATCGGTGGCGACCGGTTGTTTGCGTTGCACAGTGAGGCGAACGTGTTCGACGTCTGGGAGACGCCACCCTCTCCCATAATGCAGTCCATCTCTTCATGTTTCTACGATGACTTATCAAAACTGCTCATCTTTGTTCTCCCCCCAAACATAACTATTCCATAAATTTTAGTTGACTGGTTGTTGATGAATGATAAGTTGTCGAAGCTGTATCCAAGATTTAATCATCAGCATAGTCTATTTAATTCGCCTGGAAAAATTGGTGGCGGATGGTTCTTTGTTATTGTATGCTGCTATCATGCTGAATTGAATCAGCCAATGCAGAATCACAAGCAATCCAGCCTCGAAGGGTTCATTGTCACATCCATTCAATTAAAACACTGTAGCCGTCTGTTCTTCCATCAATGCAACTAAATCACTTGAAATTTGTCGCTCATCTGCTTTCTTTTATTGTCACATCCATAGTTCTTTACTTGTATTTTTATTATATATATATATATTATATTATATTATATTATATTATACGAGTGAATATGTAATTGGCAAACATCGAGAGGGTGTATATGCAAAAGATCCCAATAAAGCCCAACTTGATATCATCCCATCATCGTCTCCCCAATTCCGCATCGTCTCCCCCCTTCTGTTATTTGGATCGCGACAAAGTTTGCGGGGATCGTGGGGGAAATTTTTATCGATCCCCCGATCGTCGATTCCCTTCTATCTATTTCCGTCGCCTCTCGTAATCGAAGGTTTCGTTGATCCGATGATGCGCGTGCGGCAGGAGCCGATCGTCGCTTCGAGAACGGACTAGGGTTTGGATCTGTCGTCGCGGTGGAGATCTTGATCTTCTAGGGCTTGGGGTCGTTTCTGGCGGCGGAGATTGAGACGGACGGCTCTTGCTTCGACGTGGCCTTCGGAAGGGAGCGGTAGAGCTTTTTTGGGTGGATTCTTTTGGTCGGAGGGGGATTCGGTTGCCCGGTGCTTTCGGGTTCCGGTTTCTTGGAATGTAGGTGTCCAGGATCTGGAAAAGCTGGGAAGGTTGGGCGCTGATAGAGTCAATTTTAGGGTTTCCTTTTGGCTGTGGTTGTAGATATCTAGTGGATCGCTGAAAACAAGTGTCTTTTTTGGATGAGCCTAGAGATATAGAGGACTTTAGTATCGCTTGATTCTTGTGGTGGTGAATTTTTTGTCGGAATCTTCCATGGAGCACGTTATTGGTGGAAAATTTAAGCTCGGCAAAAAGATTGGATGCGGATCTTTTGGCGAGCTCCATCTAGGTCTGTTGTATTCTTTTGTCTTTTTAGCTGATTTGGGTAGTGTCCGATGTGAACTTGTATGTTTTTATTTGCTTATATTACAGTTGATTTGATGCTAAGGTTTTTTCCACTGGGGAATTTGGTTCAGGTGTTAACATACAAAGTGGAGAGGAAGTCGCAATAAAGTTGGTATGTACTTAATAATGTTGAAAACTGAATCTAAATTCAAAACTTTTCTCAAAAGCTTTATGATGAATCGTTGATTATCTGAGCTTCATTAGGTTTGCGGCCATAATTGTTGAAATGGAACTCTAGATCTGTTTGCATGTACAACTGTTAGCCTATGTAAGTGGGTGGAAGGACATCTAAGGGAACCCAATTATAAGTGCAACCGATCCTTGATCCTTATGATGGAGCAATGCCGTGCAACCGATGCTTGTATTTCCTTTGATATGTATTACATATAATTTAGCATGTGATTTGGTATTCCATTATTGTGCTTATTGAGGTGTTCCTTCCTAAAGTTGCATCTTTGTTAAACATGAAAACTTCAATTATGCTTATGAATTTGTTTTGTAAAATATTTCCTGATAGTTGTTTTCTATAGTTCATCAACAAGTTTTTTATTTGCTCTCTACAGCATCGTTGTCGTTGTTGTTTTCATCATCTTCGTTTGTTGTCATCATTGTAGTATCAACAAGTATCTTGTTTACTTTTTCATTATTTGATTATGAATATAATGATATTTTTTCTTGTCTTGTGTCTTATTTTGGTCTTTGTGGCATGAGTTGTGTTGTGCTGCAACAGAAAACTTCATAGAATTTACTACTTGAACTCTGATATATCAGGAGTCGGTGAAAGCCAAGCATCCTCAACTTCATTATGAGTCAAAATTGTATATGCTTCTTCAAGGAGGAAGTAAGTTAATCAGCAGTTATGATTACTTTTGTTTGGTTGGCAACGTTGGTGATGATTTTGGTTTTGCCTTTTACTTTTGTTTGGTTGGCAACGTTGGTGATGATTTTGGTTTTGCCTTTTTAATAAAGCTGGAATTCCACACCTAAAATGGTTTGGTGTGGAAGGAGAATACAATGTCATGGTCATCGATCTTCTTGGGCCTAGTCTTGAAGATTTGTTCAACTACTGTAGCCGGAAGTTCTCACTGAAGACAGTGTTAACGCTTGCTGATCAAATGGTTTGCATATCATTTTTTTGCTTCTTTCTATTGGAACTTTAACATTTACAAATATAAAGTGTAAAATTTTTAAAGTGAGACTTAAGTATCCTGCTTTCTAGAAGAATTCCCATAATACTTGTCCTTGTTGGTTTTTCTAGATTAATCGAGTGGAATATATGCACTCAAGGGGTTTTCTTCACCGTGATATAAAGCCAGATAACTTTCTTATGGGCCTTGGCCGTAAAGCAAATCAGGTGGGTAGTCATGTTATGTTTTCTTTCTGATTCTTTCACTTCAGGCATATAGGATTATACCTTAGTGCTAGTAAAGCTGTATCATTTATCATTAATTTTTTGTCTGGACTTCAAATTCGGACTATAATATTCTATTCTTTTAGGCACTGTTTCTGTTTTTGCAGTGTGGTAATGCTTATTATTCATATAATAGATTAAGCCTTTGATGCTTAGATTAAATGGTTCGGCCGTTAAAAGTCACCCTTTATTGGCCTTTTTATGCCTGAGATAAATCTTATGAAGAAATTACTGCAGAATCAGAAAGTATGTTCCTTTTGTAGAACTAGAGAAAGACAACTTGTAGATACATTATAGAAGTTCACTCTGCATTTATATATCTCATTGCACCCGATAGTTCACATGAAAATAATGGTTAGATTTCCATAGTAACCAGCTATGTTTGGACCTTGGATGTGTGTTCTTTGTTCAGAAAGTGTTGAACTAATATTGATGCATTAGTTACACCGTTGATGGCAATGGTTCACAGGCGTTAGCACACACTGAGAAATTGCATGGTTTCACAGTTGACTTGACCCTGTCTCGTGGGCCAAGGCACTGGAGAGAGGAAGTTTCATAGATTTATAACCAAGGATGGTACAGCTATGAGGAAGTTGTAGTTGCTGGGGCTGGCAAGAGACTGATGGATTTGGCAAAAAGCTGACATGGTATTCTCCAACATCGATCCTCCCTATGTTTCATTGAATCAGCATTGGCTCTTGGATCAAACTAGGACCTGCTTGGATCTGTGTCTTCAAAACTAAGCCAAATGGCTATGATCAGTCACAAGACTAGAACCCATTGAGATCATCATACAAGGACCTTTTAAAACAGGCTGGAAAACTATTTGTAACCAGAAAGTGGTGGAAATTGGTGAGATGTGGGCCTGTGTGAATCCAATTAATGGCCAGATTAGTCTGGTTGGTGATATGAACTCTTCTAGATCAAAGTCCTTCCTCTCCATTGGCTGATTGGACCAGGTTAGACATTGGCCTATGCTCCATGTCTTTGTTTGTAAATTGGTTGGTAATGACCCTTCTGATTCACTGGTGCATTGCAAAAACTGTGTCAGGGATCACTTAATTGCTAGGTTTAAGGATTCTATCATGGCTATTAAGGTAGAGTTGTGCATCACAAGGTGGTGGTGGAAAAGTGTTGGAGGAAACTCTTAGCTTTTAGGGAGACATTATCTGAAAAACATGGAGAGCTTAACAGTGGTCAGATATTGGAGCTTGGCATGGGGTCATGGCAGGATCATCACCTCGACTCAACTACTGCTTGTTGCACTGGTGGCTTTGTGCTGATTCTTTACCTGTTGAAAACTTGTAATCCAAGTCCATATGGTTCCAAAGGCCCACATATCTGAGCTGAAGCCTGGACTATAAATTACCTGGAGAATCGGTGGATTGGGCTGCTACAAGCCCCAGTCACCATATCGAATCCAGAATTTCTGTATTACTTACCACTTTGCTTGCTAAGCATGTTCTGACTACTATGGAATTATTGTCATATGTCATAATCTCTCTTTATACTTTTTCTTCATTATAATCTCTTTATACTATTTTGAGTAGCTGTTTTTATTATGAAGTTATGCTGCAGCAACTTTATATTCTAATGACTTCTAGTGTGGTATTGCTTCTGGCATGTCTTCATTAATGCTCTTAGAAACAAAAAATTTGGAACAAAATTTTCCTTGGATTGCCTAGAGGTTTATTCTAAACAAAAATTTCATTATTCTACTTCTGGCATTCTCTTTTTCTTGTTTCTTATTTGACATTTGCTTTTAATGTCAGGTTTACATCATTGATTATGGCCTTGCAAAGAAATATAGGGATCTTCAGACTCATAAGCACATTCCATACAGGTAACTGTTTCTTGCTTTTGACATGCTAATCCTAAGATTTTCTCCTATCTCCACAGAATGAAACATTTTACTCAACTACACTTTTCATATCTGCTTGTCTAACATAAGGATGCTTAGGAGTAATTGTAGGATTGATCACTAATATCATCCTATATAGGCTTGAAAATTGTTTTCATCTTTGCCTTTTTGTGACTAACAACCTTGTCTTTGTTAAAAGCGATGAGTTCTGCTACTTTTGCTTCTAACATTCACGTCCACCAAAATTAAAATAAAGGCTATGATTGTCTGTGCTAATCTTGTGGGCAAAAATGAAATAATAACTTTTAGTATGAATACGTTGTGACTTGATTACTCTAATCAGAGCATGTCATGGATCAGCAGGTTCTGGGATGTGTGTGGAATTTACTTTTGAGAGAAATAATGGGGTTCCTTTATAGGTGTTAGAGAATGGGTGTGCTCATCACATCCTGAAGAACTTTGACTATTATTGTCAGAGATACCATGTTTTGTTCAAGGCAACATGTAGATGTGTTCAAGTTCTTTGTGCAAGCAGGACTGAAAGTAAATTTTTAGAATTCTAATGTTGGTTCTAATTGCTGTAGAATGTGTCGTGATATCTTTTACAAATACACGCCAAATTTTATGTTTCTTGTGCATGTTGTATTGATAAAACATTTTGGTAATTTCTCCATTCCAGGTCTTTATTAGCATAAATGATCTTTTTGAGTTCTTGATCAGTTCTACTTGGATGTGATATATATTTTGTTCATTTACAGGGAGAACAAGAACCTGACCGGGACAGCACGGTATGCTAGTGTTAATACACATCTTGGGGTTGGTACGTATCTATCAGCCTGACAGTTGACATTGGTAACAATTTTATATTATTCAGCTTGTGCTTGCTCTTACTGAAGTTATCATGATTGTGTGCAGAGCAAAGCCGGAGAGATGATTTGGAATCTCTTGGTTATATGCTTATGTATTTCCTAAGAGGAAGGTCAAGACTGATTCTTCTCTTTCTTCATTGAATAGTCACTTAGCATGCTGTGATTCCCTTTACTTTTCCTACTCCTAATTTCTGGTTAATTTGATTGACTATAGCCTTCCCTGGCAAGGGCTTAAAGCTGGCAATAAAAAGCAGAAGTATGATAAAATTAGTGAAAAAAAGATGCTTACTTCAGTGGAGGTAATTGTGAATATTCTTTCAAATGACTTGATGGATGAACTATTGCCACTGCATCTTACTGGATAATGAGAAAAGTGAAAGTAAACTTTGTGCAATCTTTGTTGTGAATCAGGTACTTTGCAGATCATATCCATCAGAATTTGTATCTTACTTTCACTATTGTCGTTCCTTGCGATTTGAGGACAAGCCAGATTATTCTTACCTGAAACGGCTTTTCCGTGACCTATATATTCGAGAAGGTTAGTCCAAATATTATGTTTTGATGGCTTCCTTTTTTTATTTGTCATTTCTTAGTTGAATATTTATACTAGAAGTAGCTAATTTAAGTCATGGGGTGCCCTTCAAGCTTTACATACATCTCCCAATGTTGTGTAGGGCATCAGTTTGATTATATTTTCGACTGGACCATTCTGAAGCATCCTCATATTGGTACTAATCCTCGAACACGGGTATGTGTTTAAGAGTTATATATCACTATGATCTGTCGTTTTGTATGTATATTAATTCTGGTTCCTTGCACCAGCCAAATGGAAGAACAAGTGGAGCTATTGGTCCATCGATGGAAAGGGCAGAAAGAACTTCTGGTTTGTTTTCTTTCCTTGTAGGACTAATGGAAGCATAATATATGAATTGGCCTGCTGATTCATGTGGTTTTTCTATCAGTTGGGCAAGAGGTTCGTGATAGAATCTCAGGTGCGGTCGAAGCATTTGCTAGAAGGAATGCCTCTGGTTCTGGTCATCATGGTGAACACTCCAAGCACAAAATACCGGATGATGCACATATATCATCCAAGGAAGTGGTAAGTCTCTCTCTCTCTCTCTCTCTCTCTCTCTCTCTCTCTCTCTATGTGAACACACGCAGGTCTTAGTTTGTGGATGGTTAGTTGGGTTGGGTGTGAGGACTGCATGCTTGCACATGTAGTAAACCTGCTGCTTTAAGAAGATTCAGAATAGTTCTCCTGTCAGTGCTATAACAGTCCCATTTTGCCTTTAATTTTAGCTTGAGTCGGAGAAAGTCCGTCCATCGTCTCGCAGTGGGAGCACATCCAAGAGGGCTATTTTCTCAAGCAGCAGGCCAAGTTCATCTGTTGAGCGTAGTGAGACTCAACATAGCAGAACAAGCAGGTTATTTTCTAGCAGCCGTCGCCCTGCCAGTGCCCAAAGAGTTCAGCAGCCCATCATAGATTCCAGGTCATCATCCATCTCCAGATCAGCAGCAGCAGCCAGAGGCAGCCGTAATGAACCTCTTCTCCGAAGCTTTGAACGCCTGTCTTTTGGTTCTGAAAAGAGAAAGTAAAGAAAAGCTCAAGTTGCTGCTTTTCTTCCAGAGGGTCAGGATTATGATAAGCCTTTTGTATGAATATTTCACTCCTTATCATGCCCTGTCCGGTCCATATTGTTTTCCGGCCTGATGGTCATGAGGTGCCTTTACAAAGCCACCTTTTGCAACTTGATCCATTCAATAACCAAAGTTGAAATTCCCTGTAGTTCCTTCTGGGCTTTAAGTTGCCCAGGAGCAAGTCAGAGTCACTTGTTGGACACTCGTGAACAAATCTTAGGCCATAAATAACTGCCGTGTGTTGACTCTCTTTAGCCATTCCTCATTGCCTTACATCCTCTTTGGTACATAACTTTTTTTATTGTTTTGTTGCTCATCTGCCTGCAGAAGACTAATCATATGAGCAGGTTACGTTAACAAGAAGTGCTCATCCAGTCGTGATTTGAGATAGTCCTACTGCATGGTGTGTAACTTCTTGGAGGAATACTTGTGTTCCAGAATTTATCCCCACCTCTCCTTCAATCACAAACATAGGCATGATATCATCTATTTACATGTCTTTACATGGTCATTATTAAGAATTATTACCCACTAATACTCGTAGCCGCTGGTAGCTGTCTGGGATCGGGTCACCTCGAGGTACCTTTAAGCCGGTCACCCGCTGCTGGCGGAGGTTGGGTCGTCGCCCTGCCATGTCCAAACTATGTTCTTCAACCCCGGGCGGACGTCCTCCTCGCAGAACTTGGTGTACTCCAAGGTGTCGCCGGAAGACTTGGAGAACTCCACCACCGCCACCCCAGCGGCCACCTCGAACACCTCCGCCGTCACCGCTAGCCGCCCCTTCCTCCCCTCCGTCTTCCCCTCCATCGTCACCTTGTACGACTTGGTTCGCTCCACCTCGAACCCGAGGGCCCGCCCCACCCTCTCCAGCCCCTCCACGATCGCCGCCGCCGGCGACCGTGACGTGAACACCGTCCCCGCCTTGCGCCGGCTCTCGAACAGGGTCGAGAGGTCGAACCCCGTGGCCATGGAGGAGATGAGCTCGAACGCGTTGTAGAACCTCGGCGTCGCTGGTTTAGTGTCCTCGTCCTCCGAGTGTCGTGGCGGCGGAGGGATGTGGATGGGCGGTGGGCGGCAAGAGCCCTTTTTGAACCAAGGTAGCTGCACTATGGCCGGGATAGAGATGCGCTTCCCCGGGTCGACGACGAGGAGGCGGGAGACAAGGCGGCGGGCCTCGCCGGAGAACCATGGAGGTACCTCGTACTCAGCCTTGAACACCTTGCCGTACATCCGCGTCAAGCTCTCGTCCTGGAACGGGAGGAATCCCGCTAGGAGGACGAAGAGGATGACGCCGCAGGACCAGATGTCGGCCTTGGCGCCGTCGTACCCGCGGCAGCGCAGGACCTCCGGGGCCACGTAGGCCGGGGTGCCGCACTGAGTGTGCAGCAGGCCGTCGTGGCGGAGCTGCTCCGGGAGCGCGGAGAGGCCGAAGTCGGAGACCTTGAGGTCGCCGTGCTCGTCGAGGAGGAGGTTCTCGGGCTTGAGGTCCCGGTGCGAGACGCAACGGCTGTGGCAGAAGTCGACTGCGGAGATGAGCTGGTGGAAGTAGCGGCGGGCCTGGTCCTCGGGCAAGCGGCCGCGGGAGACGCGGGCGAATAGCTCGCCGCCGCGGACGAACTCCATGACGAAGAAGATGCGGGACCTGGTGGCCATCACCTCCCGGAGCTCCACCACATTAGGGTGGCGAACGAGGCGCATCACCGCAATCTCCCGCTGGATCTGCTCCATCAAGCCGGCCTCACGGCGGATCTTCTCCTTGTCGATCACCTTGATGGCGACGCTCTCACCGGAGCTGAGCTCGCGGCCGTAGTACACCTTGGAGAAGGTCCCCTTCCCCAGGACGCGCCCCATCTCGTACTTCCCGAGCACCATCTTCCGCACCTCCCTATCGGCTTCTTCCGCCTCCATCCCCATTCGCTTCTCTCTTCTTCCTCTGTTCCCGATCAAAAGAACGAACTTGATCTCGCCATCGAACAGTAGCTCCGACTCTTCTGATCTCTTCTCTCAGTTAAAGGGGAGAATTTGACTCAACCATCCCAGGAAAGGCGCGACCTTTACCGCTACTCTCCTCTCTTCTCCTCCGTCAACGCTCGAAGCAGGAACTTGGAATCACCACACCGCGAGAATCATGGGATTTGTGGGCCTTCTGCAGCTGTTGCTCGTCCTCCGTCTTCTCTTTATCCAGAATACGTACCCGTGAAGAAAGATGGATTCTTTGCATCATCTTCCTCATTCTTCCACGCTTCTATCGTCAGACTACCCGAATCAAACAGTAACTGGACACAAGAAGGTCAGCACACTTCCAGTGGGCGGAGACCGGGGAACGCAGGAACCTGGTCAGCACACCTGGTTCGAAGGAGGAGTAGAGCCGAGCTCATCGGTTGCTCCTCTCTCGTTCGGTGCGTTTGAGCAGAGAAGGAATCATCTCGGAGTAGAGTAGGACAAGATGGTTGTCTTTGTTTACCTTAATGCATCGCTTACGAGATGGCGGTAGGTGTATCACTATAGACCACAATAGAAGCAGCATCTGTCCCAGTGTTCTCCATGATTGCCAGGTAGAAGGAGAAATGTCTTCCAACACGATCCACACGTATCCTATTTGACTCCATCCATCTGTTACCTGCAATCACTCTCTCAGAGAACCTAACATTCATCCACACCACCACAAACTCATAGTTTATCGATCAGCGATTGACTCCACGTTCTAAAATATAGTTTTCCTTCGCTGTATCGCTTTCATGAGTGATAATAATGCTATCCATATCAACACCAACAAATCTCTCTCGCACACATAGCAAGCACAACCTCCTTCGAGAAATCTGAAGGATCAAGTTATACCATTGTTGAAGTGACAAGGAAGAATGCAGCCACAGCCAAGAACATCATCATGCATTAATATCTAGGCATCAGACATGAGATACAGACAAGGAGACGCTCATTCTGCATGGCCACCACAATCCCAGATGTCCAGTGATCAGTGAACGGAACCCAGATAAGTTGGCCAAGCTGCAAGCATGCATGTTTCCTTTTCCTTGACAGGAGCATCCATGTTCTCTGAGTTCTTGAACACAAAGGTTGAGACACCAGAAAGAGAAGGAAGGAAGCCTTCCACATAGCAGAAGCAAGCAAGGGTTCAATAATTTTCTTTTCTCAGTGGATTATATGTATTTCAAATATATTATCTTCCTATTTTGACTATTTTTAGCTCATACTTCTACCCTACAAAATTCCAAATGTGTTGTCCATCCATAAGCTATTTCTTGACTTTGACAATCCTCCAATGCTACCTAATTCTCAGTGTAGTCTCACTCATCCTTTGGTCCTCATCAACTAGCCTGAGTTTTCTTCTACTCTCAGTCTTGATTCATGAGTGTCATGTCTTTATCAAGAGTGTTAGCCTCCAAACTCTTCCATGTCACATTCATTCATCCTCCATGACAAAGAATTATTGCACACTAGGCATACAAATGCACAATTAATTGGGCCATTGGTCATCCACTAATTGATTGATGTAGATCATCCAATAAAAGTCGATTGCTTTCATCAATTTCGTTTAATTTCCCTTTGTTCTTAGCTCAATATCACCTATAAAGTAAAATATGTCAACTTATTTTCTCTTTCCTTTTGGTGAAGAGAAATGCACCATTGAGTTTGATTTAAATCACTATCCAATGAACTTAATCTTCATTAAGCACGCCGATTAGGGCTAGTAATAATGTTTGAAACAGGCCTTAATTTTTAGTAAGAGAAGCCCCAAATTTCAACATATGCTTCCAAACATGTTTTGCTCCATCACACATAGAGATTGCCTTCTGGATTACAAGTGTGTATGCATAGATACTAGTGGTGGTGAAACAGCAATTCCAAGATTCTTTGACTTCAACTGATCCAAATAGCCACTTGATGATGCATTCTGATGATGATTTAGCTTGTTTTATCTAAATTAAAGCATAAACATCCTTATATACCCTAATATATATATATATATATATATATATATATATATATATATATATATATATATATATTGTATCAATGATAACTCAGAAGGGTCTGAAGCTGAAGGAGATTTAAAACCTAAAAAGTAGATAGATAGATAGATAGAGAGAGAGAGAGAGAGAGAGAGAGAGAGAGAGAGAGAGAGAGAGAGAGAGGGTTATATATATAAACATGCATTTCACTCAGAGAAAAATGCAGTGCACATGAGGAGATTTAGTGCACAGAATAATGCTCTTTACACAATGAAGGTAAGGAAAGGGATGCCTTCCCCTTCCCTAAGGGATTTTGATGTCTATTCATTGGCTCGGTCTCAATGGTGCTTTCACTGTATACAACCTTCACATATTCCCAAGTGATGGGAGGGTCACATTAATGAAAAGGAAGATATATATATCTTGCCATATTGATCACAAATGTTGGACCTATGTGTTCATTGATTTGGCTGAGAAAAGTTGCAGACACACATCATTTCTTCTGCTATATCCAACTGCAAATGGTTTCAGAACCCCACGAAAGTGTCATGCAATCCAGTCAAGGGGAGATGCATGCATGCTGGATTTCCATGAGAGCCTTGGGTTTAGGGCAAGTCTGCGATATGCATGCCTCCAGCTCGGTGGAGGGGGACAATGGCATGCGAAGACCAGGATGCAGGCATCACTCATTGTCTTTGAATTCATAGGATGGTCAATTTGTGCATCAAGTGGATGAAGCACTAATATGGATGGATGAACGAAGGCATGATTAGCTCTCTGATTGTGATCTGGAGAAAGAGACCTTCTCTGAGAGGCTTTGCTGAAACTACTGTATCATTGAGGTAAATGAACAGTAAATGGAGTTTTCTCAAGGAAAGAGTTCATATGCTCTCTTCTTCCTCAGCTGTTGAGTAGACTGAAGTAGGTTAATGAACGTTTAGGAATGCAGTATTCGGCGAAATCTCTCTCTTCTTCTTAGTCTTCTGCTTCTGGCAGGGAAGATGCCAATCCAGATTGGGCAGCCATGATTGATCACGGTCAGCTTTTACAGTTTGCTACTCTTTTGTGTCTTGAGGGAGAGGTCCATATCATGCTTCCCTTACTGATGCTGATAGATTATTATATATGCAGAATTCCTTCAGACCAAAGATCATCAATAGCTCTCAACTAGTAATCAAGCATTTTCTTTGATCTCAGCTATCAAGATTTCGATTCGGACAAGCACTGCATCAAAGATTAAAGAATGAGATCCATCCAATGGTTACTAATGATCCCTTTTAATCTTTTTCTTTAGTGCAGTGATCTCTGCATAAAATTTTTGTCCAACCAAAGATTCTTCACAGTAATAAGAGTTTTATTACTGTTTACAATTTTGTGCGGTTTCGATAATTGCAAAAACTTTGGTCTAATGGATATGTTTCCAGTGTTTTATATTTCATTTGCAAACATTTAGTGTTTTCTTTTCATTTCAAGTAATGATAAATCAGATGTGACTTCAAGACGATAGTTAAGGCCGATCAAAGAAACATTAGTGATATTAAGCACGTAGCTAACACAAATCTAACATAGATCATCTCATAATGATCAAGATTATTACAAATTGAGCTTCATAACAGTTAGAGATAATTTTTGGTCAATCATTCACATACCGGTTTCTAAATTTGAGTGTGTTTTGAATCTAGTGTTGATCTATGTATGAATTCCTTAGATCTTGTATTTGCACATTCTCTAAAACAAAAAAGATGCACATAAAGTTTTACTTCCTTACATATATTCAAGCCTTGCAGATCATTAGGGTTTTCACCTTTGAACACTTCCTCCATATTCTCATGAACTCAAACTCTTTGTGCATGCAACAATCTAATAAGACTAACAGTTCATTCTTCTACTAACATCAAATCCATGCACTTGTAAACCATGCAAAATAAATGTTAGCATCCAACTTTAAGTGCATTGTTATAATAACCAAAACTATGATGTGGAAAGGTTTAACTTTTGAGAAATTTGCAATTACAAAATGTTATGTATCAAAATGAGCATTGCACAGATATATTGCATCATCTCCCAGTTTGAGCTTATCAAGTCGTTACTGTGTATTAAGTAGATAAAGATTGTATGACAGAAAGACTTAGTGTTTAAAGCAACATTGAAAGGGAAATGGTGAAAGCAAATTAGTATCCTTATGGAATCAGAATAGAGAATATTACACTTTTCCTATATCTTCTCTGCAACAAAGATCTATTTAACCATAATAATAGTTTTTGTTATGGGAGATTAGGAAACATAGAATGCATTTTTCACATGAACCACCTTATGCCACCAGGTTTACCAAAGAATTAGCTTAATTAAACCTCAAATTTGAGTAAATTATTTTGTTGATATTGGAAAGAGAAAAGGCTGCAGTGGGAGCTAAACAACACTTTGTTCGTTGTGTGTTCATGTCATCAATAAACACATAGACCACATGTTTTCCTCTCTCTCTCTCTCTCTCTCTCTCAGCATCAATATTGTATTCATCAGACAACATTGAAAGATGCAGGTAACCACTGTTCTTAACATGTTGTATGCATGTTAGCAGGTGTGGTGCAGTGAACTTTGGACTTCCAATAATTTGGTCCAATTGGATTAAGGGGATGCAGACATGAAGTGGACATGTCATGCAATGCCTTTTTCCATTAAATATAGTACAAGGATTTGTAATATGATACAAGTAACTCTGTACTTCAAGGTGGCTTGGAAATCCTATGTGCTGCCCAATTTCTTCATGTAATTCCTACTTAATATTTTTAGAGAAATTACACATTTATTCCTGATATGTTTTGTTTTTAACCATATTTGAGAAGAAAAAAAATGCTGTGCTTTGACTCCAAGGAAAATATTAGTAATTAAAAAATATTACGTGAATCCTCTCAAAATTAAAAGGAAAAAAATAATATAAATAAAATATATATATATATATATATATATAATTTTATTTTTTATTTAAACAAAGTACTAACAGGATAATTGGTGGGGAGATGATCTCATGTACTGTCCTTCACACGTGTCCCAACGCAATTGGTTAATACGTTCAATCGAGGTGACGTTACCTCGGGGAAACCGGTTTTCAACCGACCCAGACCGGGCCAATTTATTAAACCGATGCGGCCTCGACCGGGCTCCCGCGCCCACCACAGGATCGTACGACCTGCATTCCGCCACGTTTCCCGAGCCAAACGCGATGGCGACGACATCTCACGTCTCGCTCGGGCCCACTTTCCTCGTTTGCCTCGTCCCCTGGTCGGGCGGCCATGATTGGTGCCGTCACGGGGCGTGATCGCGCCATGATTCGTGCGGTCGTGGAAACGGACGGTGGATTTCAGGGTCGCGTGCGGGGAGCCGTGCGGGCACGTGCACGGTGAGGGCTCGGGAAGTACGCTGTGCCCACCCGGCCCAATCGGCGGTCGACAGAGTCCGGAATCCCTAAGAACATTTCCCTCTCCTGCGTCCCTCTCCTGCGTGATCCTGATCTCTCTCTCTCTCTCTCTCTCTCTCTCTCTGTGTGTGCGCGCCCGTGTACGACGCAAGGACGAATTGTATACGCAATAAATAATTAGGAATCAGCAGCGGCATTTAAGACGATCACGTCTTGATCGCTACAAATGAAGCGAGGCGGCGAGAGAGAGTAGCCGGAAACCCTAATGGAAAAGTTCCGCAGAGAGAGAGAGAGAAGGGGACGGGCGCGTTCCTCTTCTTCCATCTTCTATTTGGTGGTGGATCTTCTTATTCTTCTTCTTCTTCTTCTTCTTATTCGTCTTGGTTTGAGTTTGTGGTCGATTGGAAGGGGGTTGTGGAGTCTCGTCCGGGGCGGTTGGGGGGGTTGACAGAAGAGAGTGAGCACACGGCGGCGATCGCATCGGCGGGGTGCCATCGCTGTTGCGTGCTCACCTCTCTCTCTGTCATCCCGATATCTCCGGATCCGTTTCTTCATCCGATGGCGATCGTGGTGTCTTGGTGTGGAAGTGGTAAAAAGAGTGGTGACGGGAAAAAGGTAAGGGTGCGTTTTGCTGGACATGCGCGCAGGCTCTTTTTTTATGTCGGCAGCTCGTCTCTGAGCAGTCTCGTCATGGGCGGGTTACCGAGGTAGAGAGTAGGAGTGTCGTATCCGGTTATGATGGTGGTCGTGTACTTCTTTCCATTTCTGGAGGTTTCTATTTTTCCTGATACAGCTACGGAAGCAAGAAATCAAGGAAGAGGAAGACGGTGAGAAAGAAAAATCTCATCTTGGTGGATCTGAGAGTGGAAGCGTGGCTTCTGCGTTGAAGGCGATTTGCATCGGGGAGCGAGCTCGGATGGGTGCAGAGTCAGACGTCTCCTCACTCTCTTTATCTTCTGCTTTCCGTCTTTATCTTCTGCCGCTTACTCGGATTTATGGAAATCGCTGTTGACCGGTCGTCGTCGTCCTCTTCTTCTTGTCTGCCTTCCTCGCCTTACCTCGCCTCACTCTCCTACTAATGCTTCTTTCCTTCCCTTGCTTTTCTTGTCTTTTCAGATGGATGATGAACTGATCTTTGGAACTCGAAGGCCAGTTCCATTGGTTACGATAATCTCGAGGTGGTGTCCTCTTGCTTCTCGTATTAATATCTTTTTCTTTATTGCTCGAAATGTATCGGCTTGCCTGCTTTCTGTTGCTGATTCCGACCCTATTCCTCTCACTTATTGCATGCACTTAAGGGTTGCTGCACGCATGCATCAAGCAATCATTGAGTTGGTTTTCCTGTTGGAAGTCGGATGAATCTGTGGATGCTCCATAAGGCCTCGGTAAGTCGTCGGACTTCGTTTCGTGGTCGACGTTCTACCTCATTACTAGTTGAGGAAAGAGTCTCGTCTGCTTTTGGTTATGCGACGGAGGGCTTTATTCCTTTGGTCACAGGAAAGCTTTATCACATCGGGCAACAATGGAGCTTCTTATGGTTTCTTTCTCGGTTAGGGAGTGAAATTGTGCTTTTATATAATATCCAACTTGATGTATATTAGTTTACCTAAATTCCTGTGTTCTGATGTGGCGATGTGAATGGCTATAGCTATAGGAATGGAATTTAGGAAGAGAAAGTTCATAAATTTAGGTCTTTTCTTTGATCTATGCCCTATACAATGCCAAGAAAATCTTGTTGACAGAACTGAATTTTTAGGAACCCACATAGAACATAAGATCAGATATTGTTTATTCATTGGAAAATCTGTGTTTGTTTTCCACGGTATGAAATTAAAATGTCTCATGTTTAACGAGATTGTCAAGTTTGCTAACATAAGATTTGATTGATCTGTGGTAATTTTTTTTATTATAATTATACTTATGAGTTTATGAGGCATGACTGACCCTTTTCACCCTTTTTACCATGAAACTTCTGCCAAATGGACTCTTTAACCACACCATTTTTGGGGACAAGAAAACAACAATACAAAAGCTCAAAGAAAGCTAAATATTGGTTGAATGATTGATGAAGAAAAAGCAAGTACTGAATCATTGAACTTGAAGGGGAAGCATATTGATTGCCTGATGGACTATGACAAGGAATTGTCAGGGGGAATTTCGGTGGTTATAAATCTTTTCATTATAGTGGAAAAGACAATGTCCTACCATTTAGCTCATAATCATATGGATGAATTGACATTTTGACCCAATTCATTTGTCATTCCAGCCCTTGTTCTTCTACAGCTATTTGATGTGTTTTGTATGGAAAGACGCTATAATGTCGATGTCCTTCAGAATCATTTACTATTTTATTATACTTTCGCTTATTTACTTTACATATTTATGGTCTTTTTTTTAGTTGCTTCCTATTGCCTAAATGCTTGTTTAAGTTTGGTATCGATTCAGGAGGTTATACAGCTCTTCCCTTAATTGCGAATAATTAAGTTGTCTATGATGGATAGAAATGAATTGCATCTTAGTGTTGCTTGTTTTCCTGAACCCTAGTAGAGGACAGGAATATAATTACCTGCATTTTTCATGATTCTAAACACCTTTGTCAGACTACAGATATGTTCCTGTCTTTTTGTTCTTACATTTTTGAGAAAATATTCCATGCTGGCTTTCCATCCCAAGTTCTTTAAATTTTCTTTTATTTTTTCTCTAAGCAGATAGAAGCACTACCAGTTTTACTGGATAAATATTGTTGCTATTGTTAATTCTTGAACATATTATCTTATCTATATTTTGCACAATTTTCTTCAAAATCAGTTGTCTGACTAATTCAGCACCATTGCTTTCTTGATCCAGGATTACTATAGTTCAATAACCTGGAAGGACACTTTTATAACAAAGATGTTTCTTAAAGTTAGATTTAAGGCTAACAGGGATTCAGAATTTTGATGACACATAGAATAAGTTTTTTAAGAAAGAATTTACTTCTTCCATTCAAATACTACATAATGTGTGCACAAGACTCCTACAACCGGACTTGGATTCCTTACCTTACTACACACATTTCTCCTTGAACAGTAAACTGTCTCCTTCAAAGACCACACAGTCTAAGTGACTTTGCAAGACAGATATCATCACATTTTAAGTGATAATGTATTACCATGAATGGTGTTTGATTGGAAGAGACTGTAAGCAAATGCTATCTGGGTTGGCATTTGTTGAATTGACTTATTAGTATACATTAAATGTTCCTTAATGTGCTGACTTCTTAGCTCTTAAGTGGCATTTACTTTGTTGACCTTTTATCGAGTCCATCATTTATTCTTTTGCTACAGAAGGTCTATATGTGCTATTTTGAGTGCAACACTGTCATTTAATGTGGCTTAGAAATTGAAATACAAGATATAGATGGATTTGTTGGAACTTTCTGAAAGCTTTTGTTCTTCTTGTCTGAAATCTACTAAGCAAATACTATATCTGAAATTTAATAATTAAATCCCTTCTTGATTTGTTTCTCCATGTCCGGACCGTCAACTAAGCTTTTGTTCTTGTTGTCTATCTTTCTATATATATTTCAAATTATTGCAATATCTCATAGAAGATGAGAGCAGAAAGGCCTCCCATGAGACATGAGAGTAGAAAAGGAGATCTAAGTTAAAAAAGAAAGGAAGACCCAATGCAGAATGTGGGTTTTGGCAGGGTTAAATGTTACAATCTTATTGTTATAGACAGAGAGATCATTTCCATGATTTATACGTTTACCTGAATATAGTAGTCTTTGGTATGCTCCTAATTATCTAGGAAATAAGCTGGAAATGCATCTAAATCTTACATGATTGGATAAAATTCGTGAGTACTGAATGATTGTGTGCTTTTGAATGCTAAAAAATACTTGATATGGACAAATTCATAACTTGACCATATCTTTTACCCGAAGTCCCTTTGTGGATGAGGGATGTCTTCAATTTCAAGTTATTTTCTTAAGGTCTGTTGTGTGGTGCTTTAGGGTTTTGCACTGCCATTGGCATCTTGATGCTTTTGTCTTATCAATTCATAAATCTAATGAAACAGTGGATTTTTGTGAGCTTTTCTAATATAAGAATAGATTGTAATTGTACCATGTTCAAGATGTGAGTTTTATGATGTGGTTCATATTTGGTGATCATCTTGATATGAGATAAACATAATAAATCACTTTCATTTTTGTTAAGTTTATGTCTAAGGATTGTAGTAACTCAGCATCAAGCAAGGATTCTTTTTTTTTTTTCCTGATTATATACATAAATGGTGCATCGTTCGCTCTTCTTTATAGCTGCAAACATCTTCTTTTCCTTTCATGAGTCCAAATTGGCAATCTCCAGGATTTGATTGCTGATTTAATTCTTGTTGTGGCGCCAAGCTCCGTGATGATACAACAAAATTGTTGCTGTGTAGCATCTACTGTTGCAAAAATTACACATTTGCCAAAGGTATCAGGTAACATCTTAGCCAGAGTTTTGGATCTTTAACCTGATTCAAAGTTTCAATTGAGTCTTCACATCTGTGGGAGTCGGTGTTTATATTTTGTTCCCTAAATTTTTAGAATTAAATGAAAAAGAAGTTGCAGGAGGAATTGATTGTGATGCTGTCGTTTTGACGGTAGCAAGAGTTTCATAGCAGAAGAGAGCCATCTCCAGGAGCATCCTTCGACAACGTTTCTTCTTGTGAATCATTAAGCTGGATTGGAAAGCTGAAGCAGAAGCCATCAAGTGGAGAAGGTTTCATCGGGTAAAGATCCCGTTCTTTAGTTATTGCTGCCCCTTTCTTCATCAAGAATTGTCAATCAGATAGTAATGCATGGAGCAGATGGATCCTGAAGTGGAACCAAACCTGTGACAGCAATGTTGTGGCACCACATTGCTCCCATGTCAGAAGCGGGTGGATGGTATGGTATGGTGATCACTATAGTTATTGTGACCTTCAATATTTTCGGCCATGCGATTCTAGTTTCCAACATGTCTGCTTTCTTTGCAGATGCGACCGGTCACTGTGACATGTCTTGGTGATCTTCTTTCTACATGTCAACAATCCCTCAAGAAAAGATGGGAAAGAAAGCAGAGCAGCTACACAAAACAGAGCAAGAGACTAAGAAAACCGTGGTCCTGATCTCCATGGCTTGTGGGGAGTGCAGAGGCATCATAAACATGGTATGCCTCTACTACCGTCCGAGTCCCATGCATGTCCAACCTAGATTAGGGTTTAGTAAGTATTATGAGTTACAACTCACCATGATTCCGACTTCGAGTGGTGATACCTATAATATCGAAGAAAAGATGTGGTGCTGTAGATGATGATGAATCTTATTGAAATCTACTTGTGCTTTCTGCTTTGGTTGCAGAATACCAGACTAGATGCACTTGATAGCAACTGCAAGAATTAATGTTTCCACAATCACAAGAGGGAAGGAGACAGAAATGTCGTCGTGGTCTGTAATGTTCACAGGCTGCCATTAATGGTGCTTCGCCAACGAGTGTGTGTAGGAAAGGGAGGACGAGGAGGGGGGGGGGTCACTGGCCTTTTTGTTCCAAAGTCAGAGCTACCATGGTGTGATGAAAGCTTTGCCATGTCTTCATTTCAAGCTCTGCTGCGGTCGGAATCCTCCTCCTGCTTTGACTGTCTTGATAGCCAAACAGTCATTTTTTGAGGTAAAAGTCTCAACTGCTTTTGATCTGCAATCTGTGCATTGACCTCAGGGCGCTAACTTTTCCTTCCTTTGTCGCATGCGGCACTATCGACGACCAAATCCAAGTAGACAGCCATATAAATTCCTCAGCCTCTCGCGTGGAGTCCGTTGCTGCCCCTCTGGAAGAAGTGAAGAGATAGAAGTCAACTTTAAGCCACCAGAGAAAGGTGGAGATCAGCATGAGTCGGTCGAGAGTTGTGATTCGGGCTATTAAGATAGCAAGAGGAAATCTGTTTCACGGATACGTGCCATCAAAGGTGTTTTGACTTTATCCTCACCACAAGATTATTTCTACATGTGTAAGCAATACTTTTTTTTCTCTCTTTTGTGCTGCTGAGGCGTTGACAAGTATTCTAGGGATGGTTGACTTTTCTTGATAGATAATATTACCACATTGACATATTATCGTATGAACATACTGGAAAATGTTGACTTACTAGCAACAAAAAAATAAACGATGTAGATGATTAGCAATTCCACCAACAAATTTAAACTAATTGCATGGGACCAAATCGCTTTCACGTCTAACCGATTGTTGGTGATTGAACGATTGAGATATGAGGTGAAAGAGAAGATCTCTAAAACGATTACCAATTATTGAGTTTATTATAGAGGGTAATAACTTGCATAAGGAAGGCTATATTATTTTCGAAAATAATCCTAAACAGTATATCCATTTTTGCTAAGAAAAATATAACTCAATAAATCAAAAGAAATTTAGGATTGCATCGGAGTGGAAGGTTTTATGTTCGAATCTTATGCACGTCACTCATTTAAAGAAAATTATTCATTCCAATTAATTCAAGTTACCCAAACAGCCTATGGCGAGTCAAAGTTCAGCAACCAACAACAGATGAATGGAGGGATGAGAGAATAGTACTCAACTGTTGCTCGACTCGAAACCCCAAATAATCATAGAGTACGTGAACTTCTCCATGAAATCAATTATTTATGTCCTCGATAAATGTATATAAAAGTCAATCGAAACTTAGATGTACAAATATGAAAAGTAATATAATGGTCAGCTCGCCCTCTTTATAGATTCGACCACAAACTTTGACAAATTTCGTTGACTTTCCCAAAAGTCAAAGCCGAAGCATTCACGAACTCGGCCAAGCGAAGTCATTGTTCTCGGCCGGCCGGGGGAACCGTTTATATGAACGCTTGGTCTTTGCACCCTCTCTCTCTCTCTCTCTCTCTCTCTCTCTGCTTCTAACTCCTCCATGGCATCTCGACTTGTCTTCTCCGTGTGCTGGTTCGTCCTCCTCCTCCTCCTCCTCTCTTCTGTCTGTGGCGGTAGACGCCTCCGAGGAGAGTCGACGGCGCTCACGCTCGAATCGGTGAGGAAGTTCTTGACGAGAGAGGAGGATAGCATAGTGTTCAGCCTCATCGAGAGGGCCAAGTATCCATGCAACGCCCCTGCTTATGATCCTTCTTACTTGGGTCGGGCCACCAAATTCCATGCCCTGTCCCTCGTCGACCTCTTCGTCAGAGAGACGGAGGCAGTGCAGGCCAAGGTTTGACTGTTGCATTCATCTCCTTTCTCATGCTTTGCTCCTCTTAAGTTTTCTCTTAGGAGTTGACTTCCTTCCTGCGGAGACTCATCTCCATCCATCCACTCAAATCCTTTCCTACCGATAACCAATTTAAAAATAATTATCATAATATTAGGAGTTTGAATTTTATATATTATTTCTCTGTTTTGCTCGGATTGATATTTGCTGTCAGTGTCGAAGTTAATGTGTGCATTTAAAGCACGATATTTACTGATCTTAACTTTTGTTCGTTTCTAATTCCAAATATTTGCTACATTACAACGTGAATGACTTGCAAATCAATGTTCTATAGGCTGGAAGATATCAAAACCCTGTGGAGATCCCCTTTTTCCCAAAGGATATGACGTTGCCATCAGTGCCTCCTTACAACTTCCCAAACGTAAGTAATCTTCCTCGTCTCTCTGCAAGTGTCGGCCCAAACAGTTCTCATCCGTGACTCTTAATTGTGCGCGCACCCATCGCAGGAATTGCATGCTGCTGCTGCATCTGTCAATGTCAGCGACACCATATGGCGTAAGTACTTCGATGAATGGCTTCCACAAATCACTTCGCAAGGGGACGATGGCAACTACGCACCGACAGCAGCTGCGGATCTCGTGTGCCTGCAGGTAAGAACGAACGTGAATTGCGCTTACAGGAAATGAGAATAGGAAGCTAATTTGGATACTATTTGGCTATGTCAGGCTCTGTCAAGAAGAATCCATTACGGGAGGTATGTGGCAGAAGCGAAGTACAGAGAAGCCCCACAAGATTACAACACTGCAATTAGAGCTAAGGTCAAAATGTCCCACCTATTTAGTCGTCTATAGGTTTGTGTAGATCGATACACTAGAATATATGACGCTTGCTGTTCTTCGTGCAGGACAGGGATGCCTTGATGAAGTTGCTGACCTTTGAAAGCCAAGAAGACGCAGTGAAGAGAAGGGTGGAGGAGAAAGCCAAGGTGTTCGGGCAGGATGTAACCTTGGGGAAAAGGGTGGACGACAGCAGCAACGTCACCAATTATAAGGTCGATCCAATGGTGGTTTATAGACTCTACGGCGACTGGGTTATTCCTATGACAAAGATGGTTCAGGTGGAATACCTCCTCCGTCGCCTTGATTGATGCGTGCGCTGGATTCCATCTCATGCTTTGGATGCAAGCGAAAGATACTTGATCCGGTGAGGCTCCTCCGGAGGTTGATTTGTTCTGTCGTGCATCCCTTTCACAGCTCCATTTGTTCCTGAAGAACAGCAAGCTCTTTTAGTAATTTTCTTTACAAAGACACAGACAACTATTATGAATAAAAAGTGCATCGATCCAATTCAGATCGCGAGTCGGTATAGCTTCAATCAAATTTGATCAGATTCAAGCTCTTTTCTTATCTTTTGCTTCAATCAAACAAGCATAACAACCTCAAGGCAAAGCTTAAGATCCGATCAGATTCGATCGGATTGATCCATCATGTCATAGTGTATCTAATGAAGGGCAGAATACCTACATTTTCGTATTTAAATGACAGTAGCAAGATTTAGCAACATGGTAGCTTCTCAAAACTAATAGAAATAATTCAACAAGAAATACTGATCGACAGCGCAGTTCTATAAGATGGTATTAGAGGTTTTCAATACGGAAAGGAAAATACAAAAATACCAACAAACATCTGGCCCGAGTGTTAGGCGTGCCATTGGTATCAGATGAATATAACTAGCTCATCATCACAAGAGGACAACCACAGGATCCGAAAATGGCATCTGCAAAAGTACCACCCCAATTTTCAGAAAGTAATACAAAATTCCAAAGACTTCAATTCACTATGCTCAGATGCAGAAAATGAGGACAATGAGTGTGTTTGGTATGAATCGATTATATTATTATCTTCTCAAGCTACACGAACTATACAAAACCTACAGGCTTTGCTACACTGTAACAAGATGCAAAAGAACACAATGATGGATGTACTCGAGCATGAACTTTCAAATTGCATGCCCTTTTGCTCTAAATACTAAGGTTCTGTTAATTGATCGGACTATCACATGTAGCAAGCTGCATTTTGGGCCATGACCCCATTCAATTAGCAAGAGAAGAGTGCAAAAGGAAAAAAAAAAAGTCAAAGCGAACTGATGGCATGCTTTTATTAAAAGATTCTGATCGAAGATCAACAACTTCAATGATCCACTCTCGTGAAGTGAAATCTAAAAATCTCGGACATGATTGCTAAAATCATGGTTCTGTTGAATAGACATGTTGCTTGCTTGCTGCCAACATATCTAAGGGCACAGCTCATTAGTACCTCAAATAATTCAATTGCATTGAGAAAAGTAGCCTTGTAAGCGCAATGGAGGGGCTTCTGTATAGCTAAGTACACTAACATAACCATGAACAAGTAAATTCTGCAGTCACATCAAAACAAGCACGCGACTGCCCATGTACGAAGTCATGCAAGAACACTTGCCATAGGATCTCTACAATAACGGTGACAAGTACTTAAATCCATGATCACAGGTCGTACATACACCTAAGACATAATCTTTCTTGATATACTTTATGCCTAACATCCTACAACATAATGTATTTGAAGAGTGTTAAACCTTCCATCTAACAACTGAAGTTGAGCCCTAATGATAAAACAAAACGGTCCTTCAGTTTGGTGGAATCAATCCAATTCAGGCATAAAAACTTGAACAAAATGGATTACAGACGTGCACTCAAGCAACTCAATTTGATATGCATACAAGTTATCTTGAAACCCTATTTCCATTCTCAAAATGGTCTGTTGTGTTTTGAAATCAAGTGTACTGGTCACAAGATGCAACTGATGTCACGGATGCTAAATAGCTAGATTTGTTTGCCTGGGACATGAACGACTTATGACTCGTATAATATGTAGTCAAACAAACATAGAAAGCAAGTGTACTGGTCACGAGATGCCAATGGTCATGGATGCTAAATAGATAGATATTTTGCCTAGAACATGGACGACAAATGACTCATGCAATGTGCCGTTTAACAAACATAGAAAGCTGACCTTGAAAGTTTCTCATTGTGATGACCATCAAGAACTCAAGAAAATGATCAGAAAATAATTTCAAACATTCAATCATAAAGGTGAAAAAGATCAAGGAAAAAGACCTACCCCAAACTTCCAGGACCATGCCATGGTCGAGGTGCCACGGTTATATTCATCAATGCACCCTGCCTGACTATTACTAAAGGTATTGGATTGCCCTGATTGGACTGCGCTTCGGCCACGAGCCTTGATTGCAAGTTATCACCATTCTCAACATTCCCAAACCACACAAATTCATCGATGAGCAGCAGACCATCTTCTGCAGCAGGTGAGTCAATCAGCAATTTCATCAATAATAGCAAAAGGTATGCTCAATACTGCTTCCTCTATTGTCGAAGAATCTTGAGATGTATTTTCAGACAGAGAAACTGACATATCTGCGAGTAAGCCAAAAGTTCTAGTTAGAGGATTCAGACTTGAACCTCTAATTACAGTACTTTCTTATTTTAGTCACATACTCTGACAACAACTGGATTAACGGATATGTCAGATAAGTGAGAGTCTAAAAAAATCATATGGGAGCTTATGGTCCTAAATTAAGTCTCTTTCCCGCTGGCAAGTTTTCAGAGTTCATAATAAGCACCTACATGAAGTAGTTGCTGTGGACTTCATGCACAGAGTTAACAACTTAGACAAAGGTTCCAAACAAGCATTATATCTAGAAGCAACGTCAACCTAACATGTGCATATTAAGCATGATTATGCTTCAAAGTAATTTATCAAACGAATGACCATTATCAGATATGCAGCGTCAATGTAAACCATGCCAACTTACTTGTTCCTCTAACCTTAAGTACATGACTAAGCAGACAGCACTGTTTTATTTTAACCTCATACCTGAACTCTTTGGCGCCAACGAGCAACTTTCTGTGATTCCCTTGTGATCCTTTCGCAGCACTGCAGGACAGAAAATCTGATTTAGCAGAAATGTTACATCTACTCCTTTTTTTATGTATCCCAATAGAGAGTAATAACAAAGAAAGAACCACATCAGGCCTCTTAAGCATCTAATTTATCATATTTGTACTCCCTCATGTGGTACAGAAAGTGTCAAATGATAGAGTACTTGGCCAAGTTACAGATCCCACTAACAGAATATATAAAGATGGGTGCCATCAGACTGAACAAGTCAACTATAAATTGAACTAATGCTAACAAAGTGCAAACTGATAGTAACATGTGATGTTCTAAATTCAAATTCAGCTGCAACCAAAACATATAATTGAATCTTAGTCCACTAGCTAACTCCATCAAAAAATCTCTACTACAGCAGCTGACAACACCCAGGAGAGTAGTAATTGCAATACTAACATAGTATCAGACCACCATGCTTCCCTATAAATTACAAGCATAGAAGACATCACCAGCGTACCAGAGAGCCGATGACGTTGCGATCGAACAGCCGGTGTTGCATTCTTTTAACATATCAAATATGGATCAAACAATTGTTTTATAGAATTAAAACCTTCATCTTGATTCAAAAACATACTTTATAGATCCAAAATAATGGATTAAGAATATTTATATAAAACTTATTTAATCCACTATAATATGTATGAAATCCTACAACAATTAATAAACATATTAACACGGAAGCGTACCTGATGAATCCATTAGAGTATTTTCTGAATTGATTAGTGATTTGGTCTTCCAATTGCAGAGTACCTTTTGAACTTTAGATTTCTCTTTGACGGGTGAAGAGAAACTTCATTCGATACTACGACCGGGGACCATAACCTTATTTATAGTCATAACTGATGAATCTACAATTATGATTGTATTCATAATTGATGAATCTACAATTATGTCTCAAGAGTTTTATATTCCTAACTTATCTCGTCATTAAGTTAGGAATATGACTGATGGTATCCACACAATTAATTTTCATAACAATTATGTCCCTTAGCCAAATAACTTTACTTTAATTAGATCACTTTAATTTTGGCTAATCAAAATAATGGCTTAACACATTTAATTATACATGTGTGACTCTTAAAATTCTAACAATCTCCCACTGAGTCACATATGTATCCTTATAAATGTGATATTCTTTATGAGCTCAAAACTATTGCCATTATTAAACAGGACATACAAAACAATCTCGTCCATTGACCATATTAATATAGGACCAAAGCGATTTTCGCTATATCAATCATAGCTAAATCCATCAATGATCACTAATATTAACATAACCAAATGACATAGATCAATTATGAAATGTGTAGCATGAAAATTACATGAATGTGATCTGTACATGTCAATTTTCAACTGGTCCAACTTTATCTTTATGAGATCATTAATAACTTTAATAGCCATAATGTACAAAGTATAATAAACTGAAGCTTTATTTCTGATCAGAAAATGTCTGTACAAATACATAATCTGGCATAGTGTTACATACAACAAACATATGACAGGCTCCCACTAAACTGAAGTTTCCTCAAATTCTGATATACCCATATGAGCAGTATGCTCATAAAAAAAACTTGAGTGGTACATCTTTTGTGAGAGGATCTGTCAACATAAAGTTTGTTCCTAAGTGTTCTATAGAAATTTATTTACTTTGTACCCTTTCTTTCACAACCAGGAACTTGATGTCAATGTGCTTTGACTTAGTCGAGCTCCTATTGTTGTTGGAGTATAAAACAGCTGATTTGTTATCACAGTATATCTTTAGTAGTCTTTCAATCCCTTGTACTATTTGCAGCCCTGTGACAAAATTCCTCAGCCAAATTCCATGATTAGACGTCTCAAAACATGCTACAAATTCCGCTGCCATAGTGGAAGAAGCAATAAGAGATTGCTTGGCACTACGCCAAGAAATCGCCCCACCAGCCAAGATATAAATGTAGCCCGAAGTGGATTTCCTACTGTCTTGGCATCCAACAAAATCGGAGTCAGAATACCCAATGATCTCCAAATGGTCTGATCTCCTATATGTGAGCATATGATATTTTGTCCTCTTTAAATATCTCATGACCCTTTTAGCTGCCTTCCAATGATTCATTCCAGGATTGCTTAAATATCTGCCTAACACTCCAACAATGTACGCTATATCCGGACGCGTACAAACTTGTGCATACATTAGACTCCCTACAGCTGATGCATAGGGAATCTTCTGCATTTCTTGAGTTTTCATATTTCCTTTAGGGCACTGATTGAGACTGAACTTGTCTCCCTTTGCGACAGGGGTGTCTCCTGATTTACAATCATGCATGCTAAACCTTTTGAGTACTTTATCGATATAGCTCCTTTGTGATAATCCTAGAATACCCCGGGATCTATCTCGGTGTATTTGGATTCCTAAT